AACTCATACATATACATCACACAACTGTCGTACACATCACACAACTCATACACACACATCACAATTCATACACACCACACAACTGCCATATACACACCACTCCTCTGTCATACAAACCCAACTTCTGTCATACACTTATACACCATACACATCACACTACACATCACACATGTGTCATACACACCTCGCACATGTCATACATCACATGTCTATCATACATCACGTCATACACCTCACGTCTATCATAGTCACCATACACGTCTGTGTTATTGTAGTAGCAAAAAAAAATATAAAGATGGCAAAGATGGTGGTAGAGATGCTGCTCTCCTCCCCCCCCACTCTCCATGTTGGGGGTGGAAGACTTGCCAGGTATCCAAGACTCAGCTGACCCCCCCCCCCATCTTACTGATTGCCAAAATCAGGCGGGATATCGTCACCTGTGGAAAATCTATAAAAATGGCACAGGTGAGGCTCTTAAATCAGCCTGGTGCATGTGTACACTGTGTGAGCGAGCGCCGTCACGCCACCGTATGTTCTTATGACTTTGGTACAAGAATGAAAGTATACAAGCCCATACGTTTAGGACATCTTTATTACATAGTATTTAACACTCCCACTTACCATGAAAGTTGTTGAAATTTGCGCTGATCCACAATGACGAGGCTTTTTGTGGTTGCATCAGTTGACGGTCAGAAGGTCGTAAACCAGAATTGTGTTATTGCTCTGGGGAGATGAATAAGGAAGTGAGAGATGAACATAAAGACAATGTGGAGGAGAAACCTATTTACCACCAGCAGTAATTATTCCTTCAAAATTGGCGAATCAGAGTCTTAGGTTAAGGCTTAGGCGACTGTAGGTGGGCCTTTCGGGTTACAATTTACCTACATGGCCCGGTGGCCTGGTGGCTAAAGCTCCCGCTTCACACACGGAGGGCCCGGGTTCGATTCCCGGCGGGTGGAAACATTCGACACGTTTCCTTACACCTGTTGTCCTGTTCACCTAGCAGCAAATAGGTACCTGGGTGCTAGTCGACTGGTGTGGGTCGCATCCTGGGGGACAAGATTAAGGACCCCAATGGAAATAAGTTAGACAGTCCTCGATAACGCACTGACTTTCTTGGGTTATCCTGGGTGGCTAACCCTCCGGGGTTAAAAATCCGAACGAAATCTTATCTTATCTAAGAATACTTTAATCCCTCAAATAGGGGTTAAGTAATCTATCAGTATGTATACACTAACATGTATACCTCTTGGTGTATATTCATTGGTCGAATAAATAAGTTACCTATATAGTGTACTTCAGATGGTAGAGTACAGGAGTGCGAGTTCACGAGGAAGGTATCTAACAAGAGATGAAGAGTCGACTAATAGATAGATGACAATTGCCTACTTATTTACTCGCCTTTTTACTCATTTGTTTATTTATTCATTTACTCACAAGCTTACTTGATTACTTATTTGTTTCTTAATTATTTACTTGCTTATTTTTTATTCGCTTGTATATTTGATTATTTTTATGCTTGCTTATTTGATTATTTTCTTGGTTGCTTATTATTTATTTATTTGCTTCCTTAAAGCGAAGACTTATTATGAAAACTGTAGATGAAGTTAGGACAAAATAATTAATCAGAAATGTTTGACAATTGCAGACTCCCACTCAGAGTTGTAAAACATCTGTTGTGACTCGTGTACCCATCAAACTTTACAAATTAAATATCATTTCGTAGCATGGTGGCGTAATAAACTAAGGCGTCGAGAATTTAGCTAGCTTCCCGGAGGGCTGTCTAAATAACCTGGGTTCGATTCCCGCAATTCCATATTACCAAGATTCCATGTTTCTGGCCCACTTTATGGGCCTGATCTACTTCCATTAGTGGCCTTCTACCCACTTGTGACCACGTCTACAAGTGCTGCATCGCTTCCAAAGTGGTTAATATTAGCTGCTATAATCTGCCAAGAAAAAAAACTAGGTTCCTTATCTTTGATAAGCTTCAGTTCCTGATAACTCCAGTACTAACCTAACACTCACACGACACTAAAGACGAAAATCTACCTACCAAAACCCGACCATATCAGTCTCCCACCACATGGCATTTATCGAAATGGTTGTCTTAGAGGTGCGACCTTCGAGAAAGAAATGCAACGAATAGAGTACCACTTTATACTTTCCGATTTTTTCCTACCAAGCAATGGTACATAGTTTGCATGGTGTATATGGCTTGGGTCAGTATACGCCAGCATGTCCACGGAAGAGGTTTAGAAGCACATAGAGGGTGATTTTTTTTTCGCTTATTTTTGGGCGTAGTTTCACCCTTGTATTTATTTCGGACCGTGTGGGGAGCTTCATATATATTCACCATTTCAGGGTATATACGGTAGTGCCAGGAATGCTGAATACCTGGAGTTTACCTGGAGAGAGTTTCGGGGGTCAACGCCCCCGCGGCCCGGTCTGTGACCAGGCCTCCTGGTGGATCAGCCCCTGATCAACCAGGCTGTTGCTGCTGGCTGCACGCAAACCAACGTACGAGCCACAGCCCGGCTGATCAGGAACTGACTTTAGGTGATTGTCCAGTGCCAGCTTGAAGACTGCCAGGGGTCTGTTGGTAATCCCCCTTATGTATGCTGGGAGGCAGTTGAACAGTCTCGGGCCCCTGACACTTATTGTATGGTCTCTTAACGTGCTAGTGACACCCCTGCTTTTCATTGGGGGGATGGTGCATCGTCTGCCAAGTCTTTTGCTTTCGTAGTGAGTGATTTTCGTGTGCAAGTTCGGTACTAGTCCCTCTAGGATTTTCCAGGTGTATATAATCATGTATCTCTCCCTCCTGCGTTCCAGGGAATACAGGTTTAGAAACCTCAAGCGCTCCCAGTAATTGAGGTGTTTTATCTCCGTTATGCGGGCCGTGAAAGTTCTCTGTACATTTTCTAGGTCGGCAATTTCACCTGCCTTGAAAGGTGCTGTTAGAGTGCAGCAATATTCCAGCCTAGATAGAACATATACAAATATAACAAACTTTCTAAGAGTTTATACAATTATGGATTATTATATGACCATAAGGGTCATATAGTCATGGAAAGGTGACTGTGATATTCAGAACAAAGTGACGGTATATGCAATACTCTATATGACTGTTTCAGTAAATATACGGCTATACTCAAGTGGTAGAAGTTAAGGTATAAAATATTTCACAAGCATACAACACCAGTCACCGTGAAAAAAACTTACCTAGAGAGGGTTTCGGGGATCAACGCCCCCGCGGCTCGGTCTGAGACCAGGCCTCGTGGTGGATAAGGGTCTGAACAACCAGGCTGTTACTGCTGGCCGAGCGCAAACTGACGTACGAACTACAGCCCGGCTGATCAGGTACTGACTCTAGGCGCCTGTTCAGTGCCTTATTGAAGACAGCCAGGGGTCTATTGATAATCCCCCATATGTATGCTGGGAGGCAGATCAACAGTCTTGGGCCCTGACACTTACTGTGTTGTCTCTCTGTGTACTCGTGGCGCCCCTGCTTTTCATTGGGGGAATGTTGCATCTCCTGCCGAGTCTTTTGCTTTCATAGGGGTGATTTTCGTGTGCAAGTTTGGTACTAATCCTTCTAGGCAAATTCTACGTATATACGACATTTCAAGATATATGCAAACAGTTCAAGAGGAAATTTAGGACAATCAGGTGAAACAGTTGAACAAGAAAGTTATCCTCACTATTCCCCTCAAGGAAGGTTCCTTGATGTTGGTGAGGGGCTCTTGATTTAGGGAAATGGATCTGTGCTCCAGTTCCCCGAATTAATCCTGAATGCCTTCCACATCCCCCCCCAGGCGCTGTATAATCCTCCGGGTTTAGCGCTTCCCCCTTGATTATAATAATAATAATATCCTCACTATTATATTAAGTTTAATAAGCTTGCACTAGGCTTGTATGACGGGGCCTACATCAGACTTTGTCTCGTATATCTGCAAAAGCTTTAAATCGCTACCCCTCAGGGAAGGTTCCTTGATGCTGGTGAGGGGCTCTTGATCTGGGAACTTGATTTGTGTTCCAGTTCCCCAAATTAAGTCTGAATACCTTCCATCCCCCCATAGGCACTGTATAATCCCTACGGGTTTAGCGCTTCCCATGATTAGTATTAGTTCAAATCGCTAGCAGTTATCAGCTAAAGCATATTATACACCAGTGGCCACAAGTGAAAGAAATAAAGTACTCAAACGCGCAGTGATATCAAAAATAAAATATCTGAAAGGTTGGGGAAATTCTACGACGCAGTTCGAGGCAGTTGCGTTCAATAACCCCAACACAGTTGGTGTCACCGTTGCCACACTGCCACATGCATTCCACCTCCCATCTCTTATAAGTATACACTATTCAAACCTCTATCCATTAAAGTAACTTATGGAGAATGCTACCCACAAAAACCAAAGATTCCTTATCTACTTCAGGTAACTTCATCAGCCAATTAACAATCTGGAAAGCCAGCAATACATAATATTTGAAATATCAGAAATATCCTTATCAATAATGGTTCGTACTAGATGTTGTACCAAAGAGTTGCGTCATTCACCCGACTAACGAAAGCATCACAACAAACTCGATGTACTTGTTCGAATCTTAAGATAACGAAGCTTATCGGCCGAGTTTTTCGTTCTGAGCGCTTGTTGCCTACAACGGATATATACAACCGACAGGTATATCGCCTGTATGTCAAGAAATATTATCAGAATAACTGGAACGAATACGCCTCTGGAGAACTCTATGGATTGTACATCTCGATTCCGACGTCGGCAATAGATCATCGGGATAAGTGAATGAAATTATCAACACACAAGTAGTGACGTCACACACTCGACGCTCATTGGTCGATTGCATGAAAATTGCAGAACACCAGCAGTGACGTCACACAGGCGCGGCGCTTATTGGTCCAGTGAGTGGTTGGTCAGCTTGTCATTGGTCTAGAAAGAGGCTGGGCTGCTCTACGTGTCACACCTCCACTATTTAAATCGCGAGCGTACTGCCGCCCAGCAGATCACACAGAGCAGCGCTACCTCTCACAATAGGAAAGGTTTTTGAGTGGGAATTCATCATCCAACTTTTAATATCTTTATTATGGCTATCATCAGTATCACTTCTCGGTTTTTCTCGGGACCATGCATAGCTGGACGTAGCAACACGCCCCATCGTAACCTGTGTTAATCATCTTTATCATCATGGCAAGTCTACTTATGTAAGTAGCACTTGAACAGTGATAACAGTCATCTCCATCGTCCCGAGATTCACATCAGCCAGTACCTCATCAAAGTTCAACCTAAATACGTAATCCCGGTGAAAGATTCTACAATCATGGGGGAGCATTTTTTCGTTCTGTCCCAGAACCGACAGTTCTTGCCCTTCTACTACGGCGATGAGAAACGATGGACCGAGCCATTCTTCTTCATCCAGGCAGCGGATACGCAGTTTGGGATGCAGGAGAAATACATGGAACAAAAGGAGGTATATGGGTGGGACCAGGAGATCGCGTGGTCTAAGCAGATGGTCAAAGACATCAACGCCATGTACCCTGCCCCAAAGTTCTTGGTTGTGTGCGGAGACCTACTGGACGCCTGGCCACACACTGAACCTGAGATCCGTCTCCAGCAGGAGGTAGATTTCAAAAAGGTGTTCGCTGGACTAAAGATACCGCTGGTGTGTGTGTGCGGTAACCACGATATAGGTAACACTCCCACTCCAGATACCGTCGGCAGTTACAGATCCTCCTTCGGCGATGATTTCTTCAGCTTCTGGTGCGGCGGCGTGTTCTTTATTGTGGTCAACACGCAGTACTACGAAGACTCCTCGCAGTGTGAAGACCTGGCGGCGGAACAAGAGGCGTGGTTGGACCAGCAGCTGGAAGTAGTGAGGAGGGAGAAGCCTCAACATGCCATTGTTTTCCAGCACATCCCATTCTTCCTGACCAGCCCGGAGGAGGAGAAGGAGTACTTCAACATGGCCCCCGCCCTTCGGCAGACCATGCTTGACAGGTTCTACGACGCCGGCGTTCGCTACATCTTCTGCGGCCACTACCACCGTAACGCCGGAGGCTTCTACAAGGATATGGAGGAAGTTGTTACGTCGGCGGTGGGAGCACAGCTGGGGGAGTGTCAGCAGGGTTTTCGGCTGGTGAAAGTGCTTGAAGATCACCTGGAGCACCAGTACTATAACCTGGGCACTGCTCCCACACACATCCATCTCCCCAATACCAAACCTTCCTTGCCTGTCCTGCCCACAATACCCGCCTGGACTCGCTTGGCTGTCATTCCCGCTGCCACTAAGACATCAGCTCTGGCCCTCTAGGCTCCACAGTTCTCTAGCCTGGCATTTTTATGTTGTTGCCACCACCACTCCTTGTACTCAATAATCAAAACGGTTTACAGCTAAACAAATATATTTTCACTACCGAATCACTTAAGCTATAATTATACGTAATCGTACTTCATTCTCACCATTCCTCACTTCATTCATTCATTAGATTCGCCGGTACTTTCAGCCCGGGTCTTCTCCAGATGGCGACCCGGCGACCATTCCTCACTAAGCCTTATATATATATGCCTTACACAGCCTCAAATACAAAGGAATTCACGTTATTTAACAAAGTTCTATAGTAGTGAAAAAATTTATTTTCATTACATACTTTTGTGTTAATAAAAACTTAAAATTTTCAGTTACCCTACATATCCTTGTTTTTTTTTTTTGTAAGGTTAAATAATGTTTAATTCAAGTTGTGTGCCTTGATACTTTTGGAGTGCTTTTGATCCAAGAGGTTTAGGGTACCCTTCTCTTTCGTTTCCTAGGCACTACATGACACTTAAAGGTTTAATGCTTCTGTAGGAGCAATGAAATGAAGGGTACCTTAATGCTAAAGTGCTCTTGATCCAGGAAATTAAGAGCTCCCCTTCATAGGATGAATCCTGCTTGCCTCCCATTTCCCAAGCACTAAATAACCTATATGGGTTCAGCATTTTTTCCCCATGATTATAATGACTGGATACTATATAACTGAATTTTCCAACATAATTAAAAACAATATAAATAAAGTTGTGAAAATGAAGACAACACTAAACAAGGACTAATTAGATAAATTCAAATATAAAACCAATATAAGAAGGCACTGGTTAGGCAGTAGTGGAAGATTAGTGGAACAAAATACTAAGTGTAACTGAAAGAATAATGTTTGCAGATACATGGAGTGTCTGGGTGTAAGGGATATCTGACTAGCATGTCACAATAGGCTTGCTGCGTTATATAGATTTTTTTTCTTATGCCATTTTAAAGGAGTTGATTTAAAATATAAAGCTGAATGTTTAGACACGTCTTCAACAGGATATAAAGAGCATGCTGTCGTACATTTGGCAGCACCCTACCAGGTTTGTATGTAATGACCTCTCTTTCTTTCTCTCTCTCTCTCTCTCTCTCTCTCTCTCTCTCTCTCTCTCTCATTTATGGAAAATAATAGACATTCCCTTGCCCTAACTCCATTTTGTATCAACCCCCTAAAAAGTAATATATTTTATATACTATTTTACCGTGATGAGATAGTATGTAGTTTACAGTAACTGGTAATAAATGAGAAAATATTGAGGTACACTGGGGTTTTTAATAAAATTAAAAGTAACTTGTGTATATTAAAACAGTTCAAATGTGAATGCTTTCATGTAACTGGCAAATTACATTTGAAAAGGCATTCCGAAAATTGTTTTTTTTTAACTGGTGAAACCGTTGTATTGTGAAACTATTTACCTCATGGGAGTGGTGGTTCATTAATGCTGAAGCGCTCTTGATCTAAGGCATAGGAGCTACTCTTCTTTTTCTTGGATCATCGCTAATTAACCCGTCCCTAACACTCCTTGTGGTGCATGACCTTACTGGTTTAGCTCTCCACGAACTTGACGAAATCATAGCCTAGTTGCTGACATTCTCTTTGCAGAAAAATTTACCCACCGTCCAATATTATTTTTAAAAATTCTCTCTTGAAAAGGACTTTGAATTTACTGTTTAACATTGATTCAACTGGCGTCTAGCCCATGGAAGACCGAATAGTTTTACTGTGATTATATAAAAAAAAATACAAAATCTAGTATTTAAAGACCCATTTTGCTGTCTTTGTACACCTGCTTTCAATGTTCTCAGTGCCCTCTCGGCCGAACAAAGCGCAGAGGTACATGACAGTGCTTATACAAGCAGTAGAACGAGAGGAGGCGGGAGCAAAGACTCGACCCCAGCAGCCAGAGCTAGATGACTACACAGAAGACAGGTTGGAGCAGCAGGCAGCTGAGGCCAGTTAGGGTGCAGCTGGATGTAACCAGTTACTGGACGAGCTGCTGGCTTCCCCCGCCCCGCCATGCCTCCCTAAACCCCCAGAATTCCACCAACACACTCTCTTCCCTTTAACCTATGTTGCTACTATCACCTCTCCCTCCCTCCTACTTCTCGTACTCTCCCTTTTCCCTTCTCTCCTCCACTTTTCCACTTCGCCTCACCTGAAATTTACTTAGAAGTTTCTCTTATGTTCCCTCAGTTACATTTACTTTGTACATTCTCACATATGTACACTGAGATATGTGCCGTGTATCCTTACACCTGGTGCCCTTTGTCGCTTAGCAGTAAATAGATGTCTGGGTGACTGTTGTGTGTCGCATCCTGGGGAAGAGAATCAAAAGATTCCAGTGGAAAAGTCACAGACATGGTGACTACTGGTTATCCTGATTGGCTTGCAGGGCGGCCGTGACGTATGGACAAGTCTCCTTATATATACCTGCTGCCTTTGTTCACTTAGTAATAATATGGAGTTTAATCACTTTTTTACTGAAAAACAATTTGGCTTTAGAACACATAGAGGTACCAATCATGCAATAAATGTTATTTTCGATACTGTAGCAAGTCTAAAACATGTGTGTTTGTGTGTGCGTGTATGTGTATGTGTGTGTGTGTGTGTGTGTGTGTGTGTGTGTGTGTGTGTGTGTGTGTGTGTGTGTGTGTGTGTGTGTGTGTGTGTGTGTGTGTGTGTACTCACCTAGTTGAGGTTGCAGGGGTCGAGTCCAAGCTCCTGGCCCCGCCTCTTCACTGGTCGCTACTAGGTCACTCTCCCTGAACCATGAGCTTTATCGTACCTCTGCTTAAAGCTATGTATGGATCCTGACTCCACTACATCGCTTCCCAAACTATTCCACTTCCTGACTACTCTGTGGTTGAAGAAATACTTCCTAACATCCCTTTGATTCATCTGTGTCTTCAACTTCCAACTGTGTCCCCTTGTTACTGTGTCCAGTCTCTGGAACATCCTGTCTTTGTCCACCTTGTCAATTCCTCTCAGTATTTTGTAAGTCGTTATCATGTCCCCCCTATCTCTCCTGTCCTCCAGTGTCGTCAGGTTGATTTCCCTTAACCTCTCCTCATAGGACATACCTCTTAGCTCTGGGACTAGTCTTGTTGCAAACCTTTGCACTTTCTCTAGTTTCTTTACATGCTTGGCTAGGTGTGGGTTCCAAACTGGTGCCGCATACTCCAATATGGGCCTAACGTACACGGTGTATAGGGTCCTGAACGATTCCTTATTAAGATGTCGGAATGCTGTTCTGAGGTTTGCCAGGCGCCCATATACTGCAGCAGTTATTTGGTTGATGTGCGCTTCAGGAGATGTGCCTGGTGTTATACTCACCCCAAGATCTTTTTCCTTGAGTGATGTTTGTAGTCTCTGACCCCCTAGACTGTACTCCATCTGCGGTCTTCTTTGCCCTTCCCCAATCCTCATGACTTTGCACTTGGTGGGATTGAACTCCAGGAGCCAGTTGCTGGACCAGGTCTGCAGCCTGTCCAGATCCCTTTGTATTTCTGCCTGGTCTTCGATCGAATGAACTCTTCTCATCAACTTCACGTCATCTGCAAACAGTGACACCTCGGAGTTTATTCCTTCCGTCATGTCGTTCACAAATACCAGAAACAGCACTGGTCCTAGGACTGACCCCTGTGTGTGTGTGTGTGTGTGTGTGTGTGTGTTTATGTGTGTGTGTGTGTGTGTGTGTGTGTGTGGGTACTCACCTATTTGTACTCACCTATTTGTGGTTGCAGGGGTCGAGTCTTAGCTCCTGGCCCCGCCTCTTCACCGGTTGCTACTGGGCCCTCTCTCTCCCCGCTCCATGAGCTTTATCAAACCTCGTCTTAAAACTGTGTATGGTTCCTGCCTCCACTACGTCATTTTCTAGGCTATTCCACTGCCTTACAACTCTATGACTGAAGAAATACTTCCTAATATCTCTCTGACTCATTTGTGTCTTCAACTTCCAATTGTGGCCTCTTGTTTCTGTGTCCCCTCCCTGGAACATCCTGTCTTTGTCCACTTTGTCTATTCCACGCAGTATTTTATATGTCGTTATCATGTCTCCCCTGACCCTCCTGTCCTCCAGTGTCGTCAGGCCGATTTCCCTTAATCTTTCTTCATAGGACATTCCTCTTAGCTCTGGAACTAACCTTGTCGCAAACCTTTGTACTTTCTCTAGTTTCTTGACGTGCTTTATCAAGTGCGGGTTCCAAACAGGTGCTGCATACTCCAGTATGGGCCTGACATACACGGTGTACAGTGTCTTGAACGATTCCTTACTAAGGTATCGGAATGCTGTTCTCAGGTTTGCCAGGCGCCCATATGCTGCAGCAGTTATCTAGTTGATGTGTGCTTCCGGAGACATGCTCGGTGTTATACTCACCCCAAGATCTTTCTCCTTGAGTGAGGTTTGCAGTCTTTGGCCACCTAGCCTATACTCGGTCTGTGGTCTTCTGTGCCCTTCCCCTATCTTCATGACTTTGCATTTGGCAGGATTAAACTCGAGAAGCCATTTGCTGGACCAGGTGTCCAGTATGTCCAGGTCTCTTTGAAGTCCTGCCTGGTCCTCATCAGATTTAATTCTCCTCATTAACTTCACATCATCTGCAAACAGGGACACTTCTGAGTCTAACCCTTCCATCATGTCGTTCACATATACCAAAAATAGCACTGGTCCTAGGACCGACCCCTGTGGGACCCCGCTCGTCACAGGTGCCCACTGTGATACATCATTACATACCATGACTCGTTGTTGTCTCCCTGTCAGGTATTCTCTGATCCATTGCAGTGCCCTTCCTGTTATATGCACCTGATGCTCTAGCTTCTGCACTAATCTCTTGTGAGGAACTGTGTCAAAGGCCTTCTTGCAGTCCAAGAAGATGCAATCAACCCACCCCTCTCTCTCGTGTCTTACTTCTGTTATTTTATCATAAAACTCCAGAAGGTTTGTGACACAGGATTTGCCTTCCATGAATCCGTGCTGGTTGGCATTTATACTCTTGTTCCGTTCCAGGTGCTCTACCCCTCTCCTCCTGATAATCTTCTCCATAATTTTGCATACTATACACGTCAATGACACAGGTCTATAGTTTAGTGCCTCTTTTCTGTCTCCTTTTTTAAAAATGGGAACTACATTTGCCGTCTTCCATACCTCAGGTAGTTGCCCAGTTTCCAGGGACGTGTTGAAGATTGTGGTAAGTGGCATGCACAACATATCTGCTCCCTCTCTAAGGACCCACGGGGAGATGTTGTCCGGTCCCATTGCCTTTGAGGTATCAATGTCCCTTAGCAGTTTCTTCACCTCCTCCTCATCTGTATGTATGTCGTCCAACACTTGTTGGTGT